GCTTATGTATTCTCTCTTTGAAGAGTGAATCCTGACTTTTTAACCAAGAAAAGGCACAGCCTGAGCATTAGGTACACCCATTTGTGTACACCCAGTTTGTACACCCAAACTCCAGCAGCTGTCTACACCCGTTAGCGGTTTTAAGGGAGTGGGCAATGTGGAATGGGCTCCTGCTCATGCAGTGGAGTTGTTTTAACGAAAGGACACCTGGCCTTTAGGTGGAGTTGACTTCTGCTGGCATGAAGCTGCTCAGGGAGCAAGGGAGCCGAGTAGGTGCCACCACCATCTCAGTGCATTCATGGCAAGCATTGAGGGTCCAAGGGCTGGAGGTGTCTCCAACATAGGGCCTTGGCTGTAAGGTTCTCCTGTGCTTCCCTGCAAGGAGCTTGAACCACCTTTGTGCGATGTGGGAATTTCAGTGCTGTTTTTCAGAGGGGCTTGGGCACGTTAGTGTGGGTGGTAGCTGCCTCAGCCACATACAGACCTTCAAAAGTGTTCGACTGGAAATTCCTCATGCCTCCAGCCAGGCGTGTCACTCTCTGACTCCGTATATATGTGACTTTTGTTTTTCTCTTTTGCTGTATTTTAGCTTAAAAGGAACTGACGGTTCATGCAGTTGGAAGCTGGTATGTCCCATCAGCAAGCAATGAGCAGTGGTTCCCACGCAGGGCTCCCGGCGAGCCATGGGACGCTGGTGCCGGCCACAACGCTCGCTTTCAGCGTGCAGCAGGGATGCCGTGTGGCGTGTGTGTCGGGTCTTCACGTTAGCCTATTGAGGGTGCTTCTTCACGGCTGTTTACGGGAGGCCACCTCCTGTGACTGCGTGCACCAGTGCATGGGTGACCGCGCCGGGGCTCATCCACAGGATGGATGTTTTGTGTCAAACTGGGCGACTGTTTTTTTTTTTTTTTCCTGGTTTCCATGGTAAAATTGAGGATTAAAATGGGGCTTTTCCTGATGGCAATGTAAAAGGATGTGCATTGTTTCCTATGGAGAAATACCAACATCCAGTGCTGGCTTGTGATGCATAATGCTGAAATGAAGAATCAAACTGTTTCACTTTGAGAATGAACACAGTAGTGGAGCTTCTCTACTTTCTTGTGTTTAGATGGTGGTAGAAAACGGTAACAATCCAAAAGAGCAATGGAATTTGGTACAAATTCATGGCTAGTTTTGGTAGCTGGAAGGGGAAGCATTAATTATTAAAAATATTTGCTTAATTTTCTCTTCACTCCTTATCCAACTGGTAGGTGTAATAAGGGATACCTTTTTACTGTAGAACAGTATAAAGATTCAGAAATACTTCTAAGCAGTGGCTCGCTTGCTTCAAATAATTGTCAGAAAGTCAGTCGTAGTTCACACAACTGGTAACACAATATTGCTATTACAGTATTCACGAATGCAATGGGCAAACAACATGTTTAACTATATCTCTAGCAGCCTAAAAATCCACCAAGATGTCTATTCCAGAAAACAACTTGATCTTTTAATGTTGAAAAATAAATAATGTTCTCCAGGTTTCTCTATTTATTCATTTCTTCAAATTAGTAAAAGGGACAGACACAGTTTGGAAACATGAAATTATACTTAGTAGTATATAGATCACTTTTGGGGGCGTAACCAATAGTTTTTCTCTTCCTTGCAAAGAGTGCTTGTTAGAATTGTATCTGGGTTCTGCCTCGATAATTTCGTTGAAAAAAATGGAATTAAAAATTTAGAAATCCATTGCAAAGAACAAACAGCAATTTGCTCCTTGTTTGTGAAGTCTGTTAGTTTTTTCTTATCGTTTTCATTTTAAAATCAAGTATGGATTTCAGATAAAGCACTTAGTCTTCATTGTAAAGCATGTGAGAAATCCTGCCTGGAGCCACATGTAGATGCATTGCTGTAATCACCGTGTAGACGGGATGGTGAGGTCAGCCCTTACCCCGCTTGGGCACAGACAGAAATATTCGGTAGAGCAGAGCTTCTCTGGAAAATCTTTTCCCGATGTAGCATATTTCTGTGTGTCGAGGGGGAGGAGGGTGAATGAAATTCTGTCAACTTTATCAAACTTTCACTTTGAGCTAAAAATTATCATTAACTCTGATCATTTTTGCATTATCAGATATCATTGAAGGACACTTTAAAATAGTCATGGTGAGCTTAGAAAAATTAAAAGCTGTATTTAAGAAATATAGAAACAAAAATGCTTGCATACTTAAAATATTCGATAAGTTTATTTGGCTGGCTTGATAATTTGGTAAATTTACAAACATTCTCTTTCTTTTTTGGTATGTTTCCAAAAACAGCTGGCCTATGCTCTGAGCAAGGGCTTGTTTGCAATTACCCCAGCTAGAGCAAGAGCTTTTATCCAAAAGCAGCTTCCCAGTTATCCTGAGCTAGACACGAAGAGCATATGTCCACGAGACTCCAGTGAGGAGATGCATATGAGCCAATTCCCCATGCGCCACTTAAAAAATACAGTCTAAATCTGATCATAATGATCCTTACTGTCTTCTGCGCTGCATGCGGCTTGCTTTGCTCTCAAGGACACCGCAGCCTGCTCAAGACAGGGTTTATTCAGTGCTGTGGAAGCTTCTCTGACAGACTGTGAAGGTGCGGAGGGCGTTATGCATTATTCAAAGTATATTAAAGGTCCCAGTGCCCTTTGAGTTTGTTCCTACAATGTTTTTCCATGCTAAATACTGCGTGCATCTCTGTTGTGCCCACTTAATGCAGGTGAGAATTCAGCAGCTGCCTCACCTCGTGCATTGCAGCAGCAGACCTTTATCCTTGGCCCTTCACACGCTTTTCTGTACGCAGCGTTTTCCGTACGTAGCATTCGGCACTTCTCTCCCGGAGTACGTGGATTTTAGCCGTGACCGAAAGGTTCCTTTGAAACGTGAACAGGAGAGGTGTGTGTGGCGTAAAAGCACCCGCAGAGCTGGCGACAGCACGAACAACCCTTAATGTGCGCTCGCGTTCCCTTTGTAAGCCGTGAGATGTCAAAATAACACATTGTGCAAAGCCTGGGTGAGTCAGACATCCGTGGCGTGTTCTTATTCATTGGTATGTGAGGAACAGACAAGGAGAAAAGCCTGAATTTCTGTTAAATAAACTCTCCCTTGGGTTTTGTCATCTGTGCGGTTGGCTCTCGGTACTTATGGAACAAGAGCCATTGAAGAGCTGGCACCCAGCAGAATCGGTCAAATTTAAATTTTTCATGAGCTCCGCTTGGCCTGATCATTGAGCGATACACTATAAATGCACTTATTTTCAGTATCTTCATTATCTTTTGTAACTCTGCGTAGTGCAGCATCCTTGGCAAACGTTGCAGGGGAAGGCTCCACAGTTCCCGGCTGTTTACAAGGGGATTTTTTTGTTAATATTGTGCCTTATAACCTGGGTCATTTTAATGCTCGCAGGAGGGAGAGGTGATGCTACTTGGGTAGACCCTGGGAAAAATCCCTGCATGCTGCTGGGCTGCAGCATTGCTGGGCCCCGGCGGGGGCGTACGGGCAGGAGCCTGGTGTCCCTTGGGCTGCAGGGGCTCAAAACACCATGAACCACTCAGTGACTTCACTAGCAGCAGAGTGAAGCCGGTGTCTAGAATTGTTCCGTAATCCAACTTTCTCAAGATTCGTTCTTGCTTTTCTTTTCTCAGCCTGAGTTTTATTTGATGGGCATATAATCGTGCACGCAATATAATTTAATGACAGAAAAATTCTTATCTCTTTCCCAGTGCCATAAATTTCAACCTTAGAATCTGTTGGTATCGCTGTAAACGTAGTTGATTTGGTTTAAATGTTGTAGATGTAGTACTAGTTTTCAGCTCTGTCGATGAACTTTTTTATTGTGTCTGCAGATTAAAGTTTTGGAATAAAAGGTTTCCCCTTCTTAATACGCATGAAGTTCTGTATTGGTGAACAGAGAATAAGTAAGAACCTCAGTGCCCTGACAAGTGTAATAAGCTTAGGAGAACATCTCATTTTAACAGCATTGTACCTATACAGTTCTCTTGGAATAGGGGGTAAATAATTAATGATTTTTTCCTTTGTTTTCGGGAGATACTGTCTGTAATAAGACAACGCACCTGTGGCAATATTGAAACGGCAAGTCACTCTGCTGCCCAAATTGCACATGATTTCTTGTGGGTAAGCTAGTTAAAGCAGGGGTGGGGACGAAGTGGCACTCTCTTCTTGTAACGCTTCCTTCTTAATTAGATATTTTTTCTGTTTCTAGGTGAAGCACATACAGAAAAGAAACCTTATATAGATTGTGTTGTTGAAAATACTGTTCAGCCTATGAAGCACCAAAATCTATGCTTTGGGTTTTTTTTAATAAAACAGAGTCTTGCTTGCTCATATTGACTTGTCCTTTACAATCCGTCGGTCTCTGAGATGGCAAGGACAGCTAATAATTGCGTGCTGAGGCCGTTAACAGCTAGCTTGTTTCTTCCTTGTTCGTCAGGAAAAGCTGTAACTGCTGGGAAATCTGGCTGCATTTCAGTTCTTCGGTGGGCTTTCAGCAGCTTCACGTCATGCCGCGGCTGAGAGCGGTGAAAGCTGGTGGCCCGCAGCGCCGGGGCCCAGGCGTGCCCACATGCCGGTGAGCCACCTCGGCTCTGGCAGCCCGTGGGGCACTTCTGCCACTGCCGCTCGCCCGCCTTGCTGTAAGATCAGGGAGGCAACCAGCCTGCTGGGCCAAAAATTCAGCAAAAATTCAGAAATGACCAACCTTTTTGTTTTGTTTTGTTTTGTTTTTTTGAAGCGTTATTTAACATCTTGCAAGTCGTTTTGAAACTTAGGGCTAGATGTGCAAAGCCTCTCATCTCTTGATCTCGTCCCATGTGAGAGCAGCGCTCGGTGGGGAGGTTCTTGCAGGAGGTTCGTGCTCCTGCTTCAGCTCCCGACGGCCGCGTGGGGCCGCCCGGCTCCGCGCGCTGCTCCCGCTGCCGTCGCGGGGAAGGCCACCTCTCTCCCCAGGCTCTGACCCGTGCCTCCTCCTCTTGGTTATAGGCTGGACAACAGCGCTGGTGGGAGCAGGAGATTACAGTGAACGGAAACATTCAAAAGGGAGAACTGATCACCTACAACCTCACCGAGCTCATCAAGCCCGAGGCCTACGAAGTCCGCCTGACGCCCATCACCCGCTTCGGGGAAGGGGACTCAACTATCCGCGTCATCAACCGCCAAAAGCCGGGGCCGCGTTCGGCTCGCAGCCCAGCCCGCGGCTGCGCCGAGGTGCCTGGTGCGGACGGCGGCGTCCTCTGTAGGATGGGGCCGAAACAGTATTTTCCATTTCCAAGAGGTTTCATAAGCCAGAAAAAAAAAAAAATCTAAAAAGCACAAAACCAAAACCATAGCGAAATTTCTATGAAATAGAAGGAAAAAATAGAACAAATTATTTCTTTTAACGAAATATTTCCTTTCGAAGAGTTTGTGCTTATTCCGGATACTTTGAAAGTCAATGAGGTTTCAAAAGAATCTACACAGCAAATAAGTGGTATTCTGGAGGTCTCAAATCAGTGTTTTGATATCATCAAAGTACTTCAGATTTTGTTTGTTTGTTTTTGCCAGGACCAGCGGTTTTTGAGACATTTTTATTTGGATGAGAATAACTAAAAAAAAAAAAAAAGTAACCATTTGTAGACCCATGCAAGTGGAAAAGAGCATTTCCATATTTTCCCCCAAAGGTCATGCTGTGCCACAGATCTGTCGGCTCTAATCTGATAGATAAGGTATATTAGTCCCACAGCCTTCAGTTCAGTGTCCCAGCGTTGCCAGGAATTAATTCCTTAAGATGCGAAAATACCTTACAACGTCTTTCTCAGTGTATTTGTGTAATGAATTACTGACTTTTTTGTTTCTTGACTGTAAAAATTACAATGAATGTGCAAGACCCTTAGAGATCAGATGTCTCTATTCGAGACCCTGGAGTTGTGCAGTCTGCAATGGGAACCTGATGTACTGACCAGAAAGTTTTTAATAACTGAAAGAGATAACTGTGTGCCAGGGGCTAGGAGAAGATGTTTGTAACTGTGGTATCATGAAAGTGTTAATTTAAATATTATCATGGGGCACCTTGCTAATCCTGGAAAAAAGCAACGTGACGCACAGGTCAAATCACAGCCCGCCATACGTCCAGCTGCTCCCGCAGGTAGGTACAACAGTGATTAGTGCTGTACAGATATCTAGGCAAGCCCAAAGTGAGATATCATGTACAGCAAATAGCCCAAAGGTAGCTTGCAGATCAAGAATTACTCTCAAAAATCATTGCCAAGTAATTTAAAATAATGAATAAATCTGATAAATTTTAAATTTCCTGTGCATAATTTGTAGAATTATTCATGATCAATGATTAGCTCAGCCCTACTCAACCCCCTCATAAATTATTTCTAGCACTCTGCTAAAATCAAGAGAAAAAATTAGATTAAATAACCTTAAATATCAGTTCAGAAGCAGGTAGTTGGACATTTCAGTAGCTGCCAGATCAGCTAGCTGTGGTGATGGGTGAATCTTAGACTTTGCCTTTTGCAAGGTGTTTTCTAAGTATCGCTCTCCCAAAGCTCACACTGGCAAAATCCCAAGAAAAGAAGGGCTTGTTTACTCAATGTGTGAGTAGATACAGTCGTTCTGCTGGAACTCCCCTCGGACGGTAGGTTTTCATTGGCTCTTCCAGCAGCGGTAGTTGCACGCTGGCAGCTTTCGGGAGGGGGACTGAGGTCTCAGCTATGGCTTACAACCTCACTGAATTTGCATTTTTAATGAAACTTTATGTCATCTCCATTTCTAGCCTCTGGCTGGCAGAAAGAACAGTCTGAGGCAACGTGGAAGGCGCATTTTGTCTACGGCAATTTTTTCTGCTAGGATCTGCCGCTAGCACAGACGTGAATAATGTCTCATTTCAAACACGTTGATTAGGTACCAACGCAAAACCCAGCCGCCCAGGAGAAAGGAGAGCATTTGCGTTGTGCCCCAGATGGAGGGATGCTTCGAAGCAATAGTCAGCGCTGTGACTCTGGCATCTACAAGTTCACAGTTTTAGAAATCGTGAACGAGATGCTAATGAATAAGATAAACCTAAAGCTGCTTTCCTTTACCGAGAGACTCCAGCTTCACTTAGCTTTTGTGTGCTTCAAATATGCATTTTATCTCAGCGTTCCTCCAGTGACAACAGTGCCAGCAAACTATTACAAGCCTAATTTTAAGGATGTTATCGCTCAAGCTATAAAATAATGTTATTACTTATATTAGTATAGTGCAAATCCAATACTTATAATCAGAAATGCTGGAATCTTGGAAATGCAGTTAATGGGCTAGCGGGATGCACAGCAGCAGGCCTGCCTAGACAGAAGTAGTAATTGTAAACATTGCCCTGAAAGTAGAATAAAAGATGTGTAAATGTTGCTTAAAAGAACCAAGATCATTTTTTACAGTTTTCCCCGCTATTGAAATTCTTTTTTTAATTTTGAGACCTTAAGCAAGGAGGAAAACATTTGAATCTTCATGTTTTCAATAGAATTGTAATTGTGTGTGTGTGTGTATGTGTGTGTGTGTGTGTGTATGTTCAGTCTTACTCAGTACTCAAGAAGGATACCCCAGAGTCTAGCAGTGTCAGCCTGTTTCTCATCCTGTCACTTTAAAAGTATATTTTTTGGAACCCATAACAATTTAACATCTTACAAAATCACTGAGTTTGGAAAGGTCCAACCCCCTGCTCAAGCAGTGTCACCTAGAGCAGGTTGTCCAGGACCGTATCCAGGTAGGTTTTGAATATCTCCAAAGGTGGAGACTCTGGGCAACCTGTTCCAGAGTTTGATCACCGTTAGAGCAAAAAAGTTTTTTCTTATTTTTAAAATACACTGGTGTATTTGTATTGCTGTTAAGAAGTCATATTTCAAACATTTTTTTCTTAATTTTTTAAACTTTAATCAGGCTAACGGGATTTCATCCTGTTTTTTAAAAAGTGCAGCCAGTGTGAAAAGCAGATTGGACACATGGTAATTAGAGTTGCTAAAAACAGTAGCAATGTCTTTTGACTTTAATAAATGAATTAACTTTTGTAGTTGAATTTCAGTTTTGTGCAAATAGAGGATAGATAAGCCCTGCACTTTCTGTGTTTCATTGTGACAGCTTAAGCTTGTCTTTTGTAGCATGACAGTTTTGGGTGGGTACTGCACAGAAATGATTTTTCAGAATAGCTGAAAGTGTGCAAGAATCAACAAGACATTTCTGGTGTGTTGTTTGTATTTTGCTTTACTAGACAGGAGAAGATTTTTTCTATGCGGTGCAAGAAGCTGGCTCAGATTTCTTTAAATTACCATTCTAGCCCTTCACAAAAGTTGGAAAGATAGACAGATATATATATATATATATGTATATATAAATGCATAAAATTAGGGCAAAAACTGTTTCGGACACCTTCTGTGGTGTTTCAGAGGCTCCATTGCGTTATGCAATTATATTAATTTTTTTTTTTCTGCTTAAATAATCACCAAGGAACTATAGCATCGCTAACCCATCATAAACTCTCATTAGCTGGGTGTTTCGTTGGAAGTGCACATTGCAGCCTGCAAGGGTCCAGTACCTCCCAAATTCCTGTTGATGTAGCCCATGACCCTACTAACTCATGTGTCCATCACATCTAAGCCCAAATCCTGTCAAATACGCAGGCTGAGGTGAATCACCCTGTAGGCATGTCCATATCTCTCCAGTGACCATGGAGAGTCTAATGCCACTTTGAGATGCCACATCTAACTTTTAGATAGCTAAAGGTAGGCCGCATTAATCCTATCCAGGATGTCATTTGGGGGGATTGCTCTCCTCTGGAAGAGTGCAGAGCGCATCACATTTCAAATTATAATCCGCAACTGGAGATCAATGTGGAACTTGCAAATATGCAAAAATACCAGTTTCCCGTGTGCTAGCCTGCTGCTAACCATCCAAATGTCCAAAAGAAGGAGACTATCAAAGTAGGAAAACCTCAGTGATGAGCTCTTTGCAAAATATCCTGCCTTCCCAAGCTGGAGCTGGAAATGCAAAAGAAAAACACACCAATATCCAGTCCCACGGATCAAACGCTCACGCATGCCGCAAGCATTTCGTAGTGGAAACACTTTCCTTGAATTATTCTCTCCCCTGCGCAGAGAAGGACTGGAGAAAAGAGCAGTCATCGCAGTAGGAGCGACGCCGATAATTAGAGCCAGACATCACTTGACAAATTCTTTAGTTGTTGCATATGTTACTCTGCAAAACACAGTCTGCCAAACACATGCAACTGAGGCAGTTTAAGTAACACTAATGCCTGTTTTGTCGGTCAGTACAGCACAGATCTGTCTTGTAGTAACAGCTCAAATATAATCTCCGTCACTTTACAGAAATCTGTGTCAGTCTGTCTGATACGAACTGGCTCTAAAATCCTCCAGCTGCTCCAGTTAAAATTCCAACACTTACTTTTTTATATATGCACTTATGTTTAAATATTTTTAGAGTTAATCAATGGTTAAGCAAGCAAGTTAAGGTCTCTTCTCTGAAGAAGGCCCCCCATCTTGAGTGAGGCGCCTCGGTTCTTGCTGGAATTACCAGTAATTATCAGTTTCCAGTGGTAAAAAACATAGCAGCGTGCTTCTACTTACCTTAGCATTATGTTTTTCATAGTTACTAAAGCTTGGTTTGTGGCTGTTTTTTAATGAGGGGGACATAGCACATTTTTTTGAAGGGTGACTTACTTGTTAGCTGAGCAAGGGTCTGTGTTTGGAAGGATCTGTGGCAAATGTAACTGTCTTTATATATAAAGTTCAGGGTATGTAATACAGTAATAGAGGGGCAAGCATTAAGAAGAAAGCTTTCTGTCCACGTTTCTGTGCTATATCCTGGATAAATACAGATCGCCAAAAATTAAAATCACCAGCAAACTGGGATTCCATCAGGTGTGATTCCCTCCATGGTGGAAGAAAGGCAAGGAGATGAAGGCAGCAAACGTCTTGGCTCCAAGCTCGGGCATTTCTTGGCACTGTTCTGCTCTTGAGAGTTGTCCCCAGTAAAGCATTTGCCCGAACACAAGCCAAGATCACCTGAGCAGACAAGCGATAACTCCGGTGCAAAGATTTTCTAGGCAGTCCGAACTCAACCTTGGGAGTTTAATCCCTAAGTCATCCCTTAATTTCCCTTTACGGCTAATTGTCCTTATTAACTCCAGTGCACACACAGCAACCTTACCTTTCAGAAACGAGACTGAGAGCCATTACGCCTTCTCTTGCAGCAGCCTGCTGTATAAATTAGAAGAGTAGGCTTTTTGACTTTGGTTTTGCTATTTGTTTGGGGATTTTTTTGCCAGTTTGTGATGTTAGACATCTTCGGCCTAACTGTGCTTTAATTTGCTGTTTTGCTTTTGTCAATCAGTATGAACTGATGCTAGTTTGGCAGGAAGCTTTTTTTGCTCTGCCGTGAGCAATCTCAGTAGCATGACTCAAGGTTACCCACTAATGACAGTTTTTATAAAAGCCCCTACGTACAGTTACAAGCAAGCACCAGTAAATGTAGTTTCCAGCAATTTCAGCTAATTCCAAGTTCAATAACTCAAGAAGCCTACAAAATGAATGTTTCTTGGCGAATGAAAGGTAATTTGCTGGTAAAAGCTAAGAGGTTATCTAATATAATGTAATGACTAATTTTCCTAAGAAAATTGCACTTGGGCAAATCACTATTCATTTGTTTTAGTGAAGGCAAGATAAAATGGCAGAGTTGCTAAATTAGAGCTGTTTTGAAAATTTCAGGTTGACTGTGCAGCTAAGCAGAGTCTATGAAAGAGGTCAGGAACCACGAGGTCGTGTCCGTAAACAAGGCACGTGAATGGCAGCACGAAGACACGGAGCAACACTTGCACTGAAATGTGGCATTACCAGATGCTCACATTATTTGGAGACAGAATTTGATTTCAAATTTTCTATGAATAAGATGTGATTCCAACTGTGGGCTGGCCATCCGTCTGCTTTTCACATGAGTAATGTGCTTATAGCAGAAGGGCCTTTTCTCCTAAATGGCCTGTTACTGAAATTCACCCTTCTGCAGCGAGGTGGCACAGGACTGCAGATTTTCAGTTCTCATTCAAACCTGATTTCAAATGATTAGTATTGCACAGGCTAGTCTGAGCCTATTGGCAGGGTAAATATTCAGCCTGGACCTATGCCTTGGTAGTCCCTGTCATTGATAGAGTATCTGTTGGCGTGATCAAGGTTTGACTTTCATCTGGTTCCATCCTCTGACTTTGAAAGTATTAGGTGAGCTTCAGTACTAAAGGATTAGAGAATTTTTGCAATTTTGCCAAGGGTCTGTGAACTAAGAGTGCCAATTTGCTTTTTCTTGGTTGGATCTCTTGGGCAAATGAGATCAAATCTCTTCCCACAGACTTGCTCTGCTTATTTTTTCTGCTGCTGTTTAAAAAGAAAATAGGCTTTTTTGAGAGTTATACAAGTGCTCTCTGTTTCTTTGACTCATATATATACAGACATCGTAAATAGAAGAACTCATTACTCATTAATAAATGAGTAATTCACTATGCTCAATATTCATGAACATTGCTAAAATCAAATGTGAAGTGATGAGCAAGGTCTGATGCAGAACCTCAGCTTTTGATTAAATCATCCTTTCCCTATTTTGGGGCAGATTACTGTGCGAAGGTACTACCCTGCAGGTTTCCTGTGCAGCTGTTCTCTTCCTCAAGATATCTGTAGCTATAATCTAGGTTTGATGCTCAGTCATAGCTCTCCAAGCTGAGGGTGCTAGTGGTGGAGCATACACGGCATGGATGGGAGTGGCTGTGTTTTCTCACTGCGGCCGATGCCTTTGGGTTACCGGGAGCTACAAAAATTGCCAAAGAAAGAAGGTTTCAGTTTTGCTGGCTCTCTCAGTGTGGGACCCATAACCAGAGCCCTGAAGGAGAAGGAAGAAAGACTCAGGGGAAAATTAGGATAATGTGAGTACTGGTGAGTTAGAATTTCCCCTGTGTGCTAATTTTATTTTTGCTCTGTCTTCCAGCTCCAGTAAACCCGCACCTACGTAAGTGTTTTTTTTTTTTTTTGTCTTTCTGGTTTTTATTCATGGGAAGAACTATATCTGCACCAGTTTTCCTTCACAGTTAAAAAAGCAAATGATAAGTATTTCACTTTATCACCTGATGTGGCCCATGGGATTGTGTGAGTCCACCATAGTTTTATGTGCAAGCTGTATTGATGGCTGAAGGGTGCAATTCCTCTCGTTCTGCCAAGGTGCTAACACAATAGTAGATGGAGGAAGGAAAAATTGTAGCTCCAGGTCATCTTCCTTCCCCAGTACCCCAAACAGTTAGTCTAAAGGAAAATACTAATGTTCTAAAAATAACCTCCATTTCTGTGGGGACAGCAGCTCAGTTAATGGGAAAGTGAAAGCAAGTGTATGGGTGAAGCTATGATTTAGCCGTGGGATTACCTACATAACTGAAAAGTTAAATATTTGAATTGAGTATTAACAATAAGTATTGAAATATTGAATAGGAACTGTATGTGAAGCTCCTAGACATGATAAAAATCTTAAAGGAAAAGGGAGTTTATGAAATTTTACAAATTCCTTTATCTTGCTGTGAGGATTACATTCGCATTTCTTGTGTTATTTTGATACCTCCAATCCTGGTCTGAATCCACAACTTTAAAACAAAAAGAAGACTATTCATGCAGTGCATACGAGATGCATGGACACCATTTCCCCCGAGAAATGAGGATGCCAAAAGTATAAATAGAGTGTGAGTGTTTGGGTATATTTGTAGGAGACCTGCATGTTCCTGAGCCGTGAAGCACCTTCCTTGCTATGGGCTTGCGTAAGTGGAAGGGGAAGCCCAGCACACAGAGTATATTGCAAACCAAACCAGCTTGGAGCTTGAATCGTGGAAAATATGTTCTTGGAGATGAGTGGCACAGCTGGCACGTCATTCAGAGTGTTTCATTTGTATCCTCGTGTCCTTCAAGGGCTTTGTCAGGGTCTTTACGCTTTCTTCCTGATTTGGGGGATGAAGATGGAGGTGCATCCATTAATCTGCATCCATTCACATGCTTCATTCTTGAGCTATTTTGGATGCAACCCACAGCACATGTATTCCTGATAGCCGTGTTCTTTAATTTGCTTGTCTCTCAAGAAGAGCCACAATCAGACCTCTATTAGTATTTCTTCTCTGCAATGTTTATGATGGTGCTCCCGTATTTAATGATTTTGTGTATTGCCACTTCTTCATCATGCTAGAATCCAAAATATGTTGCTTTCAGAATCAAATCAAGGTGCAAGGTCCTGAAATTGGCTCCTCATCATCTTGATGGCTATCAGTCATGCTTGCCAGTTAAATAATTTTCCTTTGGAAAATAATGCTTTGGGGTGATCTTATAGAGTCAGTCACTTTATTGAGAAATCAGATCAATCTCCTTGAGGTCCTAGTAGGCAAGGCAGTGTCTGTGGATTGCGTTTTTATAGTAACCTAGCTTTATAAAATAGTATTTTACGCTAACTGTTGGGGAGCAGATCCAGTTTGCGTAGCTCTTGTTGCACAGCCAGAAGCAGAATGAAGCAGCCTTGGCAAGCACTCCTAATGCACCTTGTGGTTTGGGATGAATTTTCAAGCCTGCTTTTTCCACTCTGCAGTATTATAAGATTTTAAATAAGCTTCAGACCAGCATCCATGCTTAGCAATACACACCCGTGCTAAGCTCCCGGTCCCTGTGTCTTCACTGATTTACAGTGAGGCTCCGATGGCTTAAGTGGATTTATAGTTCACTGAAACCCTAAACCTGCAAACATTTATATACCTTCTCAATTTAACACAGATGAATAATCCCATGGCGCCTGGTGTTAGAGTTTCTCATAACAATGAATGTAAATTGTACCTCTGTATAGAAGGCTGTATCTGACACTGTGCGGACAGCTGTATTCTCCCTGGAGAAGAAAGATTTGCTTGCTTTCTCAGATAAATCAATTGACTTTGTTGGACGAATCAACTCAGCAGGATTTTTTTGTTGGCACATTTTACTACGTGGGCCTTATTCTGTTCTGAGATGAAAACTGAACCTTGACGACCTGGTTTGTTCTGGCTCCTAAATGTTTGACAATATACCTTGCTCATCCCGTCATAACCTGGCAGATAAGGTCAGTTGACTTGTGTGACTGACTGAGGTCTGGTTTAACACCGGAGAGGCTGCCAGTATTCCTGTCCTGGCTTCTCAGCCTTTTTGTTCTTCAGGCCTAAGCTTTTAGCACTTGACCTCAAGGACATAGCAGAAATCTTAGCAAAAAGACTAGGAGATGTTTTCGGGAGATGGTACAGTCAACAATCCTGCCCATATGGGTTCAGCTGGACCTAACCTTCCTCACAGGTATTTGTTTAACTAACTGGTTCTTATAATTATCCAACGATGGGAACCTCACACTCTTCTTGGACAGTCTACTCCGGTGCTTCACTTTCCTGACTTTTAGAAAGCTTTTCTTCGTGTCTACCTGAAATCTGCCTTGCTATAATTTTAGTCACTACTTACTTTCCTATCCCTAGTGAAGTTGAACATAGTTTAGGAGATACCAAAATATTGAGAGCAATATTTTCTTTTTGAAAAGCTGCTATCCTCTTTTCCATAATGTTCTCCTCCCTAAACCAAAAGAACCCAGTTCTCATCTTTTTTCCCGTAGATCTTATTTTATAAGCAGGCTGCCTCTTCTCAGCTTCTTAGAAATGCTGGCTGGGTAAGAAAAGACAGTGGCTTTAAGGGAGATTGTTGCATAAATCTGATTATGTGAGGAGGATCTATACAAAATAGGATTCGAATATAATTTCAAGTAACGCCAACACAGATTGATGACCATGATTTTTTTTTTTTTTACTGAGGTTACTGTAAAAGAAAACATACACTTAGTGTGAGAGACTTATGTAAAATAAGTGTACATATATTTTCCTTGCTGTTAATGGGCATTAACCTCCAATGCATTCATTATAATTGACAAGTATGTTGACAAATACTAATAGAATAGTTTCAGTCACTACATTTATGTTAATTTGCTGTGTCGGCAGGAGAGTTCCACTGTGGGTTTGAGGACGGTAACATTTGCCTGTTCACTCAAGATGATACGGACAATTTTGACTGGACAAAACAAAGCACTGCCACTAGAGACACAAAATACACGCCGAACACTGGGCCCAACGCAGACCGCACTGGCTCCAAGGAAGGTAAGCTGTGGTGGTACGATCCTGAGCTTCCCTTGCTCTAGGCCCTGGGGCTCTTGGCCAGGACAGTGAATCCCATCCAGCTACATCTTTTTTTTTTTTTTTGAATGCTTCTTAATCATACTAAGGATGATCACACTTCAAGGCTTCAAGGACTTCTAAAAGAAATTGTCAGTGCTGAGGAGTGTGGCGGGTCCCTAACTGTGCCATTTGCCATCTTGTACTGTTTCTGTTGTGCCATTTGGAAAGTGATTGCTTGCCCATTGCCGTCTTGTGGGGAAATACTCTAGCACATCTTGAAATATTCTTCTATTTTATTCCATTTAAATTCTAACTTGGCCTCTCAGACTGTCAAAATGAGATTTTTTTGCCCCATTTTTACTTTGGGTGTTCCTGAAATATGTAATTTTCAATCTGCTAGCCCTGTTAACAGAAGCACGCCATCCTGGCTACAGAATGTATTTGCATTTGAAGAGTCAGACATATTGTGCTGAATTTAGCAAGTACTGCAGTAACTCATGCTATTTTATTGTACGCCCCTGCCTGCACTACTAAAGAGGAAAAAAAAAAATCATACTGCATTGTATTTGCGTGAATGGATTAAGTAAATACTATTTCTATCATTGGCACAGTCCAGGATCAGAATAAATGAACGTTGTCTTCTGTCATTGAAAATGAGCTTTTGAACTGTGATTGATATGGGCAGTTGAATATGTTCCTTGAAATATTTTTTTCTTATTTTAAAAGTCCTCCCACTCTCACTGTTTATAGAAACAAATTGCAAAAATTGCAACCTTGAAACTGAAGTCTGAACCCCATAATAAAGAATTTTTCAGTTCTTGTGCATATACAGTATTATATTGATTTGAAGTTGTTTATGAGTACTAACCTGCTAGCCCTGATTTTACCCTTGATAGAAAACATGTCTTTGAAGCAGCTGTGGAAAACACATGGGCTTAATGCAGGACAAACACGTCGCAGCAGCCATGGTGATGTCAGAGGAATGTGAAAAATAAACGCTGATACTTAAGAGCCCTGGTGTCGTTCTGCATGTGTATGAGTTGGAATTTGAAGACTGCAACCTAAAAATTTTCATTTTGGCTTTCCCTAGGTTTCTACATGTACATTGAAACGTCACGCCCCAGGCTGGAAGGAGAAAAGGCCAGACTTGTTAGTCCTGTTTTCAGTGTCGCTCCAAAAAATCCTTACGGAGCTACGAACACAGCCTATTGTTTTAGCTTCTACTATCACATGTATGGACAGCACATAGGTGAGAGAAAGCCAATGACCTTGTCGTTTCACTTTGGGAGAAATAGCAGGAGAAATGTACAGTTATAGTAAAGAAAAACACAGGAGGACTACCAAAGTCTGCGAAGGCCAGTTGCAACAAAGCCTGGCAAGAGAGGTGCCTAATAGTGTCGCAGTTGCTGTAAAACTACTTTTTTTCACTAAACAGCACACTAGCAGGAACACCTTTTGCTGTTAGAGTGTGTTTTATAGGAACAAGGAAACTTTTAGGTGTGAAAACAAAAGATGATGTTTGCGGGGACTTTGCCTCGTAGTAACACAGTGTTTTGAGTCACCCCTCGCTAGAGGCAGGGTCAAGCAACTAGCCGGAGCAGTTCTCTTCTGTTGGTGGCGGTAACAGTGCACGCGGTGTGCTGCGGAGCAGCACTCAGTTCCTCCATGAAAATCATCAACGATTTGCTCAAAAGTGGTAGGAGTAGGTGCATCTGTAGATCCATTTTTAGTCATAGCTCCTTCAACATATACATTCAAATTGAGTTAGTTTTGTTAGTTGTCCCTGCACTACTGAGCACTTTAACACAGCCCCAGGCCTGAATTTTTCTCACTCTCAGTTGTAGCAGGGGCTTGCTTATTTATTGGAAAGAAGTGATGAGACGATGCCATATTTAGTGGGGAAAAAAAAAAAAAGCCTGTTAAGAATACTTCTGGTATATGGCAGCGAAGAGCAAAGTTAGAAAGAGTTTTTCAGGGATGCAGCAGGGTTGAGATAAGACCAACAGCTGTTGAGGGTGAAGTCTGTCCGCATGAGAGTGATCTCTCTCATCTGTCTCATCTGTCCAATGTGCTGTTTTTTTTTTTTTTTTTATTGTGTTCTTCTTTCAGGAAGTGTCTATGTCCTTAGTGTCTTTGCTGAGATTGTCCTTGTATGTTTTTCTGTAATTTCTTGAACTGACATGTATCACGGTTTCTAATGAAGCAGCTCATCCACAGGTGAAGATGGTTACAGTGATGACTAGTGGTCACAGTTATATAGGATTTGTATGTGTTTGCGCAACATGGACACCTGGTTGTCAAAACCAGAAATTGCTCAGTTGCACTTGTGCTCTTGAATGTTAAAAAATACAGTTACTGGCAGTTTAGCTGATGTTCAAAGTGATCTACTTTTGAATAGCTTTCTACAAAATTACTTATTATTCCATGTCATGTCTTTAAAGAGTAGACTGCAAGAAAATTAGTAAATTGATAGCATCAGCCATGTGCTTGAATGCATGCACACATACGTCTACTAAGTTCAACATTTTAATTCCTCATAGTGACAAACCGTTATGAAACATAAGAGAATGCAACATGCATTCAAGGAATATATTGTGAAATGAAAAAATATATATTGTTTGGTTCCCCAGATATGAAATCTATTATGACTAAATTGTTCACATCAGGATAATAAAAAAGAAGATAAAAGAAACACCTAATGAGGGCTGATATTCTAAAATTTCAATGATTTAAGCACATGGTTGTTGTGTGAATAGTCCTATTGATGAGCTAACTACTTGAAAGAGTTTTTGAACATTTGTGAGCTTAGCAATTACTTTGGGCTAGGAAAGGGGTTATTATAACACAATGATTTGCCCAGACAAATCAAACCTAATCATTACACAGTGTTTCAGACGGTGTATGCTTGATAACCCTGGTTTAAGGCATGCATTTTACATAACAGCACGTTGTTTGAAGTTCTTCTTCTAATATTTCTGCTGCTGGAAGTTAAGTAGCTAAAAATCTTACCTTTTCATTCTGGCAAAAGTTTGTTCTACTAATGATTCTGATCACATTTTGAACAGCTGCTTTAAAGCTGAAAACTATTTCAGTCCAATTAAACACCTCAGAAGTTGACCTCTTGTGCTGCTCTTCAGACCACAGAAATAATTTCTACCTCAGAAATGGTTTGTAGCCTAAAATATTTGTAAATACATGAAGAAATATGATTCATAGTTTCACGTATTTCTTCTATATATTCTCTCACTATTCTGCAGGGAGACTAAAATTTTATTCCACATGAGCAGGACCACAAGAAAATGATCAAGTTGACACTGCTTTGAGTTAGAAGTAAAAAAAGCAATCTGCAGAGGTCCCTTCCCACTGATACCACCCTATGATTCTATGAAATACATTTTCCATAGCTTTGAGTTTGGAAATTTTTAATTTCCAAATGTTCAAAGGACCTGGGGGTCCTGGTGGACATCAAGTTGACTGTGAGTCAACAATGTGACCTCATTGCAAAGAAGGCCAACAGCAGCCTGGGCTGCATTAGGAAGAGCATTGCCAGCAGGTCGAGGGAGGTGATCCTTCCTCTCAACTCAGCACTGATGAGGCCACACCTGGAGTGCTGGGTCCAGTGCTGGGCTCCCTAGGACAAGAAAGACAAGGGCCTGCTGGAGTGAGTCCAGCGAAGGGCCACAAAGATGATGAAGGGAGTGGAGCATCTATCCCATGAGGAAAGACTGAAAGAGCTGGGACTGTTCAGCCAGGAGCAAAGAAGGCTCAAGGGGAATCTTATCAATGTGTATAAATACTTGCTGGGAGGATGTAAAGAAGAAGGAGCCAGACTGGTACCCCGTGACAAGATGAGAGGCAATAGGCACAAGCTGAAGTATGGGAAATTCAAAAAAAAAAAAAAACACTAAAGAAAAAAAGGTTTTTTACAAGTTTTTTTACTGTGAGGATGGTCAAACACTGGAGCCGGCTGCCTAGAGAGGTTGTGGAGTCTCCATCATTGGAGACATTCAAAACCAGGCTGGGCACAGTCCTGAGCAACCTGCTCTAAGTGACCTTGCTTTTATTGGGGAGGTTGGACTAGGTGGTCTCCAGAACTCCCTTCCAACCTCAGCGATTCTGTAGTTCTGTATGAAATATTTAATTTATAATATTTTTTTCAGAAAAGTTCCATTTTAGTAAAAATTAATCCCCTGTGAATAGTTCTAACTCTCATTGCTAAAACAGATCGACTCTTTTAGCATGAACTGTTAGAGGCTTTGGCTGTTCGCATCTTATCCCTAGGTGGAAATGCGCACTGCCAGTGCAGAGTCCTACCGAGGCTGTAATATGCACCGCAAGTTCAGGGTTTACTTCAGAAGAGCAGAACAGGAGCTGTCAGCTGAGCCCTCATGTATGGTCTCGGTGCTAAAGGCTATCAGTTTTGAATAACTGTGAGCTGCTGATTCTTGAACCAATTTCAGTGAAAATTGGAAGTGTCTTGAAGGGGGATTTGGCTTAAATAAATTCCAGCCTTTTCCTTCCTTGGACCCGGGATTTTCCATCCATAATGCTGTGACATTGTTCAGTAGACCTTGGTGGTACAAGTCAGCATTTCCATTGTGTTTTTTTTCCCCTAGTTATCAATATCTTTAGGGTTTTGAAGCAGTTGTAGAGTTATTATTCCCATGTTTCAGGGGAATGATGCTCTGTCTCCCCCACAAATGAGTGCCTCTATAATGACATCGGTTTGAGAGTATGGTAGTTGCACTATACTGAAAAAAAAAAAAATCTCCTAGCTTATCCAGCTCAGCTTTTGTGCCTGCTGTTCAGATCATAGGTGCCTCTGGCAGAGAAGACAAACATTTCATTACAAACATTAGCAATAAGGGGAGGTACACGGGAGCCAGCAAGGCTCTGAAGAGAGAAACAGGGACCTCCATCCTGTGGCATGGCACTTCAGTTCCGAAAGATAACGTGTATTTCTTTACCTGAAATAGAGGGCTCTTAGTTACAAGTCAGGTTTTAATTCCTGCCAGGTCACACGGAGGTGACTCTGGGAACGCTAACTGCAAAGGAAGCGCGTACGCTTCCCTCCACATCCTTCAAAAGGATAAGGTCGATTATCCCTGAAGCATAAGAGAAACAGAAGTTCGTGTTACTTGATTTGCAGGAGCCAATAAGCCATTGTTGGGGAACAAGAGAATGAAGAGCCACTGTCATTACCGTGTCTCTGAACTGAGACAGGAGGCGCTTGCCGTTCCGTTATGGCCATCACCATCCTGTGAAACGATCTGTGTTTCTGATTTTTCGATCTACGCTCTGAAATGGAGCATTTCTAATTGCCTCTTCAAGAACAATATTTTTTCTTATCATTAGAGAGCCATCACAAAACAAAAAGCGAAGCAACACATGCTATCAGCACACATGGTGCAAGCGGTTCCAGCAGTGACGAGCGCCCAAGCTGTCCCCGCGGCGCTGCTGGTCGCCGAGCTCTCCAAGCACCCTGGATTCGCTTGGCAGGAAACTGCCAGAAGAGAAAGTCTTTTTTCGGTTCACGTTTGTAATTCCTGTCCACTGGTGTTTCCATCTCCTACTTGAGTCCCTCCATTGCCTACTTGCCTAGAGATCAGAGCGGTTTTAAGTCCACAGAGGAGCTCTGTCTGCAAGCAGCTCAGTGCAAACCACGTCGCCACCCCAGTCTCCACCACGACGTGAGTTTGGCGACAGCCACACAACGTTTCCTAGGACCGACTGGCAGAACATGTTATGTCTCAAGGATAGTCATCTGTTGCCGGTATCATAAGTTGAATTTTCAGCTCGGTTTCGGGCAGGGGTGTGTGCATAGCTGGGAACGAGGCCAGGCAGGCGCGGGACGTACTAACCACCTTGCTGGGCAGCGACGGAGCGATAGGTATAGGAATGACTACTTCATATTTTCCGTAAGCCTGCTCATCCTGCTCTTAATGGGAAGAAATGATGTGACGCAAGGAGGCTGACTATAGTATGGACAATCTTAAATCTTTATAATGACAGAATTATACTGACAGAATTGCAGCAATGACGGAATTACCAGCTTTTCAGTTCTAAATTACTCCGTTATTTCAAACAGCCCCGCATCATGGGCTGTATCAGCCTTCACCGAAGGGTGAAAGCAGTGTGCGTGTAGGCAGAGACAGGCTATTCTTGTTCAGAGCCGTGTCGCCTTTGTGCTGCTTCTTCACCCGCCCCTGCATTTAAAAAATAAAAAGCGCTGCAGTAGGAGGCAAGTGGGAGACACAATACTGCCCCATCACTCGGGCGAGCGCAGCTCCCCCACCTGCTTTGAAGAAGATGTATAGGCTCATTGTGGGCACCCTGGTGAAAGAGCCATGATGAGAGTATTTGCTGCTCCATTACACACTTAGTTTTATGTTTTTCAAGGCACCGACTTTTGCTATTGCTAGAAATAAGAACTTTTTATTAGCAGGAGCTGAGTCACTCTGCAGCTGCTTCAGATCTGAGACGTTTCATTGCAAATATAACTTGCATTTTGCACCCTTTGCTCAGGACAAAAAAGGATCATTACTGATCCAAAGGGGAAGCTTTACTTATGGCTTTCCAGCTGCCGTTCCTAACATCCTCGAAGACAGTGGTCTTGCGTGAACTTGACAATGTGAACTTCCTCACGTTAAGGCAAATGTCATGATTTGCATAGTACAAAGACATAGCACTGCCCTAAACAGTGCAAACACAGTGGTGAGCAAGAGGGAACAAAGACTCCAGATTTAAAACACTGTGAATTACCAAACCCTGCTAAATGAAGTTGATGCTTATTCCCCTCTTGCTGTACCGAGACAATGTGCTTTATGTTCGTGTACGAAGCAGAGGTGAGCTAAGGCAAAGGGAGTGCTGCTGAGGACAGGTGATTCGTTACGACTGCAAACAGGGTCTGTGCAAGAAGCAGTAGCCTAGCAGCCAGCAGTGGGGAAAGGCTGCGAGGGCTGGCTCTCAGCTTTTCTGGGATTATTTGAACTTGGAGCAAGCTTATTTTGGCCTTCAAAAGTGCTCATCACCCACAGTGAGCACGCAAGCTGACTATGATCACTCTCCTTCCCTCCAAGCCCAGATGTGGCATGCAGGGAAAGCAGAGGAAGAAGAGCAGCTGTGAGACTCCAAAGCACTGGCCCCAAGCAGAGGCAGGGCTGTAACGACCCAGAACCGTTTCTGGCCTCTCCCCAGCTTGTAGTATGCTGCCAGGACACCTAGCAGTGGTGACAGAGCCTGGCCTGGTGCATCTTCCTACCCAAAAGGTAAATTTGCTCATCCTCCTGCACGCTGTGCTCTCTAATCCCTTGCTCTAAAAGCCACGTGGCTTCCCAGAAAGCACAACGCTCCTTAGAGGAGTAAGGGCAGCTCATCTACCTCGGAAGCAGGATATTTGCCAGGATCTACAGCGTCCTGTTAGTTAAACCACGCACCAGGTCAACGAGCAGCTGGACAGTCTATAAGTGAGAGATAAGCATTAGGTAACGGAGCTGTGTATTAATCCTTGGGTGAGGACATGTTAAATGCCTTGTTTGCACTAAATTCGAGTCCTGCACCAAAAAAAATCTTTTCCCTTTCTCTCTCTAGAAAGTCTTTTGTCTTTCCTGAGCAGTTGAGAGCAATAAGCGTGACTCTGTTGCCCGTGGAAATAAGTACGCTGGATGCCCCGTGCCTCCTGGGGTGTTCAGTGTATTTTTGTGTCTACTTCCTGTGAGCGTGCTTCAGCAATTTAAGGTTTTCCCAAGCTTAAAAGTTTTTGAATACGTGACAAGGAACTCTGCACACGCACCTCAGATCTAACAGAGACCCAGGCGGAGTGGGAACGGGGCGAGAAACCCCAACGATGGCCAAGAGCCTAAGAATTATATTGCAAACGTTGGTGCCAGCCTAGGAGGTGTGATGGGGCAGAGCCCCCTCAAGACTTTCACTTTAGCCAGCTCTGCGTTTTTTGTTTCATCAAGAAGCCTAACCAATTCAAGTTCTCAATGTTTCTTTTAGGAAGCTTGAATGTGTACCTGCGGTTAAAAGGTCAGACCACAATAGAAAATCCATTATGGTCTTCAAGTGGAAATAAGGGGCAACACTGGAATCAAGCCCGGGTTAATATAAACCCCCCAACTTCATTTCAGGTAAGGGACTAGCTGCGTTGCCGTTGCCGAGTTTCACAGCGGAGTGACAGACTCCCAGTGCACAAACACCAGAAATAGGGTATTCGTTTTTTGTGGAGAGGAGGGTCACGCACATGGCCTGTTTGCACTTCCTTTCTTTGTGATACAGAGTTTCACAGCTTCATTCCAGCTCTACAAGCTGCTTTACGGACAGATAATTGCTCTCAATGTTGTAAACAAATGTGCACTGGAGAGCTTAACAATGCACCCTTTAATGGCAGGACACCGGTATTTGCTAGAAGAGTTAACTGTCTCTCAGTTTTTGGAAGATGCCGTTAGCTTATGTAAAATATTTTTTATTTCAGATTAGCAAATGGTTTATAAAATGATTTCATGTGAGATGTATTTGGGAAACACAGCATGATGTCTGTGTTAGAAGTTTCTTGAAGTACGCGCTTTCTCCAAAGGAAGAAAAGAAAGATCTTTGAGTCTTTGCTAAGAGGTGACAAAGAAGCAGCAGCATCTATGTGGAATTCCTGCTCTGGCAAAGCTACAGCCTTGGCTCACTAGGCTTATGCAAGTCATTACAAGTTTTCACACGTTTCTTTTCTGATTTGACAGTGAGATGCTGATAGACTATTACGGGCAGTTCTCATTCACACTGTGAGCTGTGCGTAACTGGAACAGACCCAGTACCGCAGCTGCAGGAGCAGCCCTCGTGTGTTTAAGGCTGGGATTATCCTCACTGAGGAATGAAGTTACAAGCCGTGGTCTAAAATGTATTCTCCTCCAGGTTTTCCTCTCCCTTATTTGTAATGTCCAGGTTTCCTGAAGGAGGTATTGACTCCTGGGGAAAACTGTCATATTAATGTAAATGAAAACTACTATTTTATACCTGTAGGTTGGGATTCACCTTATGGGCAATTCCTGATCCTGAGCCTTAGTCTTTTTGCAATGATGGCAGAGAAATTATTTGGCCCATGTGATCACAGAAGTGTTGCATATGAGGAAATTAGAGGAAAATTATAGGAGAGGGTTATGCAAAGTCTAGCATGACATGATGTTGGAGTTGAACAGAGAGGGGCAGAATTGGGGAAGAAGAGTGCAGGGAAGGGGAATGAGAGTGTAGAAGTACAGTCAGGGCATGGGCGTAAGTACCAGGAAGCCCATGAGGATGGGTGAGTGTTGCGTCGGTAAAGCCAAGATAAGTCCTAGAAGCCTGAACAGTGACAGAGAGAAAAATGATTTAGTGCCTGAACAGCAAATGGACTAGCAGCTAGAGAGAAAACATGGGGAGATGAAAGGGAAGTGATTGCAGCTGTGTCTGTGAAAGACGACAGAGAGCTGCAGTGGGCTTTGGCGAAAGTAAGAAGAGTTTGGGAGCAGCTCTGAGCAGAAGACGTGCTGGTTTCGGCACCAGCAATAGCAGTGATGAGGGGAGGAGGGTGGTCGGGGCAAGCCCGGGGACAACTCCTCAGCCCTGAGAGGAAAGCACAACCAGCAGAGAGCGGTAGAAATGGGGTCTCTGCATTGCAAGGGCTCCTCCAGGGTGAGGCATGGCTAGAGCAGCCGGCGAGACAACCCAGCTGTTTGGAGTAACCCCTGCTCCGAGCCCCCGGGCAGCCAGCTCCCGTGGTGGAGCCTGGATGTCACCCTTGGGCTGTGGCCTCACTGCACTTTCAGAAAAGAAACGTTCCTGGGTCATTCCTGGCACTGGGGCACCTTGCCTTATATTTCTTTAAAAACATATTCATTGGTGCCGCTAGCTGGCAGACAAAATGGAAACTCCTCTACTTGTCCATTTTTCACGTTTTTACATTGTTGTTTTTAAAGGCCTCGGCGTAAAACGAATGCAAAGCCATGAAAGTCTCCACAAATATAGCAAAATAAATGTCAGAGTGGTAGGAACCTTAAATTACTTTTTTAGCTGCTCTTGCGTCAACCAAACTTTATTTTCCGTTTAGGAGTCTAAATAGGAAAGAATATAAACCTCCTAGTTAAATTTAAGGAGAGTGAATCGAAGTGAATCTTTGCAGTAAAACAGTACACTGACACAGAAATTAAAACTTTTTATAGGTTAATTTGTATGGGTAAGTGCTACCCGGATTTGTTTTATACCTTCCCAATCCCCATGATATATAACAAAGCTTCGGTCTTGAAGAGCTGAGAGCACTACAGTGCTGTGAATCAGAAAACGTTTTGCAAAAAACTGTCTCAGTAAGGCATTAACTTATTAAATATTATTAAATAGAAGGACAATAAACAGAAACAAGAGCATGTGGAAGTGATACACTGCATGCTGGCACCTGTGAAGTCCTTGATTTTAGCTCAAATTTGAACAGGAGCACTGCCACCTCCTTCGGCTACGGTTTCCTTGAAGTCTTCTTGTGGCTGCTTTTGAGACCCTCTCCACCGCGTGGGTCCATGCACACAGCCAGCCCCTGTAGCCGGAAGTTGGAAGAAATTCATCAGTGAACAAGAGAAAGTAAAAAAAAAAAGATCTTTTCTAGCTTCAGCTGTGGTAGACCATGCCTAGGGGTTGGAACTTGCCATTGTTTGAAACTGGAGGAAATTGAAGGAGATAGATAAACTAAATTGCAGCCAGTGTGACAGTTTTGAGTTTTGTTCTTTAGCCTTACCAAGCAAGGGTTACTGAAGATCTCCATTGTCAGAATTTAATTTCTGCAGCTCCAAAGGTAGACTTTAAGATTTTAAGGTGACTTGATTTAGACCTTGAGTTAGTGGTGCCAGCTACCCTATCTAGCTTGGGATTTTTTTCTCCCAGGGTCTCCTAGATTCTCAGCTGGCTTACAAAACCCTGCAGTGACTCAGGGCAGGTTAATCAGCACAAGTCAGTTAATTCCTCAAAGCCAAAAGAGGCTTTTTGCAGGTAGGCACTGATATGTCTATAAATAAATGAAGGTGTGCCCACAAAATACAATAAATTCTAGTGAGTGGAGAGTGAAGACAGCTGGCCAAAGATGGACACACACAACGAGGAATAAAGTTCTCTGTAGAGCAGTTATAACTCAGGAGCTGGAAGCACAAGCTCCCCTGAATTGCTGCCAAGTACTGCCACTTGAGCTGGATGCACCTTCTCCGCGATACATAACGGGGCTGAATTTTCATTCCACTCTTGCCTGGGCTTCTCAGATAAAATCTCTGAACAGGCCTCTCTTACAGTGGCGATGGGATAATCATTGTTGCTGCTGCCCTCACTTTCACTTCTGGCCACCTGAAGCAGGCTGAGATCTTCAGCCTCTTACAGTGAAATGGTGCCTAGAGCCAGTCTGTGGTAGTTGGCTGGGAAGAAGAGAAGGCCAGGAAGGAGTGTCTTAGAAGATACAGCTCTGTCATCACTGTATGCAGATAGGGACAGCCTGGCATTCGTTAGGTACATCTCTACTTATCTTTGGGAAACTCTCTGGGAAAGTAAAATCTACTTGAAACTGTGCTGAAGAAGCACGAGGTGAATTCCCTCAGAGACACTATAAGGAAAAATTTCCATTTCCCTTGTTAAGAGAGCAGAGTGGACTTTGGTATATTTGTAAGCCTTTCTATTCTTCAACTAAATGCACTATTTCTAACAACAGCTTTGTAAAATCACAGGCATACAGATAATAGCTTTTTCTAGAGACTGGTAGGAGATCCTGATCATCTGGCACCTCCTGCAAGTAACTGTGAGCTCCAAAATAGCTTGTGCTTCATGCACTGCCAATATTCATCTGCTGTGATTTGTTCTGAGCGTGTGGCCAAGCTGGCTAATAGCAAACCATCTCTGAAACCTATAAAGACCACTGCCAAATGCAGATTTTAATTAAATGCTGGCCATTGTATTTGTATAGAGTCCTTTTGTCTGGAAAGAGT